CCTCATTCACAATGTTATGATTTTTTTTTTTTTGGTCTTTGATGCCTGATACCTGACCCCTTCGCCACCTTGTCATCTTATAGGCTGGTGTGCTTCTTCCATGTGGGCTTTGTTGTTTCTCAGTTAGATGACCCCTGGTTTATCTTCTAGCATGTGGGACCCCAGATTCTGTGTAATTTGACAGCTTGGCACCATCAGCTTTCTTCACCGCATTTGCTTATGTTCCCGCTTTGTCTTCAGCGGGCCCAGTCTTTGACTCTCCATGTGACCCTGGCGCCCAAGCTGCACTCCATGCCTGCAGAGCCCTGAGAGGGGAAGGGAGGAGGAGAGAGGAAGAGGAAACGAGGGAGGGGAAACAGAAGAGGGAAGGGGGAGAAGACAGGGTGGGGGTGGGGGGGCACTCACCTTCAGGCCAGTCTTGAAAGAACCAAGAGTTCCCAGGAGGGAATGGCCCCAAATTACCTGGGTGGGGCAAAGTGTGGGATTCAGGGCAAGGAGAGAGGCACAGTTGGCATGCCATAACCCTGGCAGTGTGCCCAACTCCACAGCATGCCTGTGCCCTCAGAGCCCCACCCTCAGCACCCTTAAGGAGCCTGTCACTCATGGTTGGTGGAAGAAGTGGCCCCCAAAGGTGCTTTTCCTTTCCTAGGCTCGCTAGACAGGCTTGGGGGCCACAGGGCCTTTCCCCTCAATTTTGAGCTTACCATTGGGATGAAAGTCCAGAGTCCAACTGGGCACTGGGAGGGGCGGGGCTGACTCAAGGGGCAGAGTCTCCCATCGACAGGGCAGGGGTTTACTTAATATGGAACGCGTAGAGATTGATACCGTAGCGTGGTTGTGAACCACTTAGAATGGCTTTTCTAGCCACAGTGATTGTTAATTCCCTCCAAAGGACAGGGAAGGGATATGCACATGTGTGGTGACCTACCAAGGTGATTGAAGAGCTTGCTAAGAATAGAAATAAGGTACATTGCTTTCAAGAAGAGAATTGGAAATTCGCTCTGGAACATACAGTCGCTAAAGCAAAAGGAAGAAACAAAGTGAAAGAGCTGAACAGACACTTTCACACAGCTGCTTGAAGAAGACGACGAAGCCGAGTTAGAATGGTCTGGAGTTAGAAAACCAAAAGGAAGAACAAGATTAGTGCTTCTCAAGCTACAAGAATGGGGAAAAGCCAAGCCTCGAGTAGCAAGACTGGAGAACTCTACCGGCAAGCCATTGCCTGATGCAGGAAGCATTCAAAGACGATGGGAGGAATATGCAGAGCCAATGTTCCCAAAAGAGTGGGTGAGTGTTCAGAGACTATGGTATTGAAGAAAGAAGAAGTCCAAGCTACACGGATGGCACTGGCCAAAAGCATGGCTGTGGGAATTTACGGAGCATCATCTGAAATGTTGCAGTAAACAAATACTGCACTGGAGGTACTTATCTATGCCAAGAAAACCGAGAATACCAGGAAGCTAGCTACCTGTGTTTTATTGACGGTGCAAATGTCTTTGTGTGGATCATGGATGACGTTGTGAAGAGGAACTCCAGAACAAGTAGATCAGCAGGGAGCTGCTCAAACTTGGGATTCGGCATCGTTTAAGCCTCGGAAAAGTATGCAGCGCAGTTGCAATCCTTTCGCCACACTGTGCTGGTTAGAGTTTACGTCAACTGGGCACACTTGGGTGAAGGTTGGGATGGAACCCACCTTACCAATCAGGTCACGGCCTGATGACACCTCTGTGGGGGTGTGGCCTCTAGTATAAGTGAGAGACCCTGTGCAGAGCAGAGACGTTTTGCCCCTTCTCCTTCCGCTGGATCTGGATCCTGCTTCTGGTTCATTTAAAAAACAAAACAAAACAGCCCTCGCCACTGGATCAAGAAGCGACATCACCATCAATGGAGAAAACATCGTCGAGGTCAGGGATTTCATTTTACCCGGATCTACAGTCAACGCCCATAGAAGCATCCGTTGAAAAACTAAACGAGGTATTGCACAGGGGCAAATCGGCGGCCAAGGATTTCAAGTGCTACAAAGCAGTCCCTTTGGAGACTGAGGTGCGCTGGACCCGGGCTGTCTGCCCGTGCCTCATCTGCACGGGCTAGCAGGACAAAGGAGGAGGCAGACTGGGGAAGGACGGGTGCCTCTGGATGATGGCGCAGGCGAAGGACCCTGAGTGCATCCCGGATGGCCCAGAGAACGGATGGCTGGAACAGCTTTGAACAGCAAGAAGGGCAAGACGTCGTCTCTCATACTTTGGGCCCGTTGTTCTCAGGAGACCAGTCCCTGGAAGACAGCATGCTGGGGAGAGTAGGCCGATGGAAAAGAGAAGGGCCTTCCACGAGATACACGGACCGTGGCTGCAACAACGGGCTCAAAACATACTGTGGCGGAGGATGACGCCGATCGGGTGGGGCTGCGTTCCTTTGTACGCAGGGTTGCTATGAGCTGGAACGGACTCAGGGCCTCGGACAGCAGCCATCGGCTGTGTCCAACGAAGAAGTGAAGAAGTCGGTTGGACTGTGGAAGGAAGGTGTTCACCAAGGGGATGCGACAGCCTGCTTGTAATGCAAATAAGGGTCCACGGCACACTTTTGGAGGTGGGACTAAGCAAATCCTAATCAGTTGCGCCGTTCCGCTGGAGAGTGCCTCTGGACACTTATTGATGAGACCCTAAAGGACTTGGAGACGCCAGTCCAAGCAGGGCAGAGGCTGGGCAGAGGCCAAGCCAGGGCCCACCTGTGGGCATGGCCAAGAGACTCTTGATCCAGGACCTGTCTGCTGGGTTGTTTCTCCTGCATTCTAACCTGCTGCTTCCGGAAGAAGGCTCAAATGGCAAGTATTGTTTGTGAGTTCTGCGTGGCCCTTCTCAAACCCAGCAAAGAAGGAGATAGTGCCCTGGGAGAGGCAGATGGGGTCAGCTTGGTAAGCAGGTTGGGGAGGGGCCCTTCACCTCACACAAGATGAATCGATCTGGGCTGTTCATCTTGCTCCTGCCCCCCACTTGTGAAGTTCAGAGGCAGGGAGATGCTGCCAGGACAAACCAGCTCCTAGCATAATCATTACCGGTTTGGTAGGCGCAATTGTACAGCGATAAGTAAAGATTATAGTGAAGTTATAGAGAGCATGAGAGGTAGAAGAGATATATAGAAATAAATGGAGTCAGACACATTAAATGGTAGCATTGCTCACCTCATCCACGCTTGGTGGTCCACGTGGAGGGAGAGAGACTTCAATGCTGCCCAAGCCTTTATATTTTCTGGGGACGTGCCAGGCCCCTAATTACAGGTGAAGACATACGTCACAGGAAAGAGTTGTGCTATAGGTATTACAGTAATGGGAGGGGGTGATCTAGGGGTATCCACGCAATAGGAAGAGGAAGGATTGGGGGTGTACATGTGACACGATGGGTGGATCCTAGATTCAGGATGGCAGCTTAACTTTGGATGTCACAGAGCCGGTTTGGCTTGACCCTAGCTCAACTGATAGAGACCATTATCAGTAGGATGTGAACTCCGCCTACTGGAGCCTGTCCATTGTCCCCAGCAGCAGGGAGCAGGCCCACCCCTGTGATGGGGAAGACAGTGGTCTGGCAGCAGGGAGGATGCTTGTGCCCCCAAGATGCCTCCTTCCCCACCCCGCCAAGTATACACAAGTCCTCGCAGAATGAAATGACGTCAGGGTCCGACTGTGGATGTTGAGGCAGTGAGGCCTAGGGTAAAAGAGAGACGTGGGCCCTGTGGCCTGAAGCCCTGCTCCTCCTCTCTTCTCCGCACCTACCCCCAAGTCGAAAGCTGGGCTCCCAGAGTCTTTGCCTCCTCCCCGTTTCCCCTCCCCAGCAAAACCCGGAAGGTCTCTTAACGGAGACTTTATTATACACCAGTAAAACACAGTGGCAAGGAAAAGAAGCAGGGGTGGGCTCAGAGGTCAGTTCTCCAGCATGTCGGTCCAGTGTTCCTGCGGAGACAAAGGAAGCTGGTTAGAGGCAGTCCCGAGGGCAGAGACAGAGAGGGAGACTGGGGCCCGTAGCCATCTCTCACCTCTTCCAATTCCAAGTCTTCCTCTTCTTCCTCAGATCCCGCCTGGCACAGCCTGACCAGGTCTCCCCACAGCAGTGAGTTCTTACAGCTGCCGAGGAAATGCAGACTCGGGCCTCGACAGCCTCCTCCAGTCCAGCCTCTGGGGGCCAGCACTGGACTCGCCTGGCCTGGGCCTGGCCTTGAGAAGCCCCTGTGGGGCTGGGGTGGGGGTGGGGGGTCGGACTTACCCAGGACACTGGCCCTCTAGGGGCAAAAGCTGCCCCGGCTCCTCTCCCAGGAACTCTTCTGCCAGGCAGATCACGTGGGCCTTCAGGGGGCAGCCGGGATGGGGGCAACACAAGGGGCTTTCTTCATCCTGTCTCGGTGACACCGGCAAGGGTGCGGCTCAGAGAAAGCCTTTCTAGGCACTGTGTCCAGGACTGATGCCACGCCTGGCCGCTGCTTACAGACGCGGGCACCGAGGCCCAGAGGCTCAACCCCACACTGGCCCACAGTGACTGACTACACTAGTGGATTTCCTCGGAGCGTTCTGAGTGATTGTGGAAGGGGCTGCACGTCCCCACAGGCTGCATGCTCCCCGGCACGTTACTTCCCAAGGGCAGGACAGGGTCTTCCCATTAACCGAGTGCTCCACCACAGCCACACCCTTTACCTTGGTCTACAAATACCACTGACCACCTGCTCTCAGTACCCCACACTCTTCCCGCCGTGAACAAGAACTGCCCTCGGGGACTCGTGATCAGAAAAGGGAATCTGTAGGGTGTCGGGTAACATTGCGTATTAACGTTAAACAAAAAAGCAGATCTGCCCGTCGATGGATGGCAAGCCCAATGTGATGCATCTGTGGCATGGATCACTTATTGGATCTGCTCTAGAAAGGAATGAAGCGTTGGTGGTGCCGTGACACAGATGCACTCCTAAAGCACTGTGCTAAGTGAAACGGAGACCAGGCCCTGGGGAAGGGCGTCCCCAGAGGGGCAGGGGGAAGGCCCTCAAGGAGATGGATGGACACAGCGGCTGCAGCAATAGGCTCAGGCACAGGAACAAGGGCGAGGGTGGCACAGGCCCGGGCAGTGTTTCCTTCCGTTGTGCACAGGTCCCACTCAGTGGCACCTCGCCCAAACAAAAAATCTTGGGCACTGAAGACGGGCTCTCCTTTTACACGATGCCCTGTGTATAAAACATCTGGAGGAGGTTGATTTGGAAGCTGAGGGCACTCGGGGTTCCCGGAGGTAGGGCTGGGGAAGAGTGGTGGTGGTGGTGGGGTGACAAGTGGGGATGAGGTTTGTCCTTTTGGCTTTGACAAAAATGCCACCAGATGACCGCTCTGGTTTAATTCATCTTTAAGAAGGGGGCGGGTGGGTGGGTGGGGGTCAGGGATAGAAAGGCCATCAGCAGCTTGCAATGTCCGATAGAGAGCTGGGGATGGAGGTGGCACTGAGTCAAAATCAAGCAAGTCGGGATGGACCTTCCAGATGACCAGGAAGGGCGGGGATCCTGGCCAAGAGCTGCCTGGTGTGTCCACGAAAGGCCATTGGTATGTGTTGGGGGGGTGGGCGGCGGGACAGGCGGCTGTGGTTCTGGCCCTCGATGAACAGCACCCCACCCACCCACGGGCTCTCACCTGGAGTGCGCGGGAGCAGAGCGTGCAGTGGGCCCCGGGGCCCGGGTCCGGGTCCGCCTCCGGCTCTGGTTCCGGCTCGGGGTGGGCTGCTCCGCGTCTCGGGCCCGGCGGCGGTGGCCCGAAGGCGAGCGGCATGTGCGGGGGCGCGGGCAGGCACAGGTCGCGGTGGAAGTCTGCGCGCAGCCAGCGCAGCGTGAGCGGGAGGCGCGCCCAGGGCGGCGCGCGCAGCATGTGTGCCAGCACGCGCAGGTGGTAGGCGAAGGGCTCCTCGCTGCGCGCGCGCCGCCCCACGTGCGCCAGGCGCCGCGAGGCCTGCGGGTGCTGCCAGGCCCACTCGAACTGCGGCAGGGGGCGGCGAGTCAGGCCGGGGCGCGGCTCGCTCCCCACCCCGCGCCCCGGCCCCCACCCCGGGGCTGCTCGCTTACCCGCAGGGCGGCCACCGCGGACAAGAAGCCGTGGACGATGAGCACCATCTCCCTGCAGAGAAGAAGGCGGGCAAGGCCAGTGAGGGCCCCCACTCCGGGGTGGGGTGAGGCGATGGCCCAGCCAGGACGCACCCCAGATCTGGTCTCCTGCTCCCCAAAGGGAGGTTCCACTCGGGCTCTGGGCCTGGCCTCCAGGGTGGCAGTGCCCCCCCTGGCCTGCCATCCGCAGGTCCTCCACAGTTCTTGCTCTTCCAGACTCCAGCCCCAGCCTGGTTCAGCAGGCACGCTGACCACGCACCGCGCCTGACCCAGCCAGCATGGCCATCCCTTCCGGCCTAACACCCACTGTCACCAGGCTGTGCTCTGGGCACTCACTTAGTGCCAGCCAGTCGATGCCCACTCATAGCGACCCTATCTGGAGGGGTAGAACTGCCCCTGGGGGTTTCTGAGACTGGACCTCTTCACCGGAGTAGAACATCTGACTTTTCTCCCTTGGACAGCTGGTTTTAAACTGCTGACATTTCGATTATCAGCCCAGTGCTACTGTAGCCCCAGGCTCCATTGAGAAAGCTTAAAAGGGCTTTCTGAGGCTCCAAGTCTTTAGGGAGGCAAATAGCGGAATCTTCCTCCAGTGGGGCAACGGTTGGGTTAGCGGGTCCAAAGCTTAACTCACAGTACCATTAGGCCCCAACTTAGCAGATCCCATGCCAGCCCCCACCCACCTGCCTGTCAAGTTTATCTTACTGTGGTGGCTGTGTGTTGCTGTGATGCTGGAAGCGATGTCACTGGTATTTCAAATGCCAATAGGGTCACCCCACGTGAACAGGGTTCAGCAGAGCTTCCAGACTGAGAACAGGTAAGGAAGAAGGATGCTTTGAAACACTGTCAGAGACTGAGGGCTGAATGAGGCCATCTCAAGAACAGACTTGATGCACTTGAACACTAATGACAGAGATCTGATGAGCTGTCGGAGGACATCAGGAACATCATTCATGAAGGAAGCAAAAGGTCGTTAGAAGGTGGGAAAGGAAAAAAGAAAAGATCAAAGTGAAGAGCCTCCGAAACTTGCTCTCAATCGTAGAGCTGCTAAAGCAAATGGAAGAAAGGATGAAGTCAAAGAGGCGGATAGAACATGTCGAAGGGCAGCTGGAGAAGAACAAAGCCCAGTCAGTATTCGAATGAAAGGTGCAAAGACCTAGAGTTAGAAAACCAAAAGGGAGGGGCACGCTCAGCGTGTCTTACATGGAAAGAACTCAAGAAGAAATTCAAGCCTAGAGTTGCAATATTGAAAGATTCTATGGGGAACATATTGAATGATGTTGGGAACATCAACGGTAGCTGGAAAGAATACACAGAGTCCCTGGACCCGAAAGAACTAGTCGACATTACACTATTTCAGGAGGTGGCGTATGAGCAAGAACTGGTGGTCCTCAAGGAAGAAGTTCACGCTGCCTGGAAAGCATTAGCAAAACCCAAGTCTCCAGGAATTGGTGGACTATCAATTAAAACATTTCAACAAGCTGATAAAGCACTGGCAGCCCTCACTTGTCTGTGCCAGGAAATGTAGAAGACAGCCACTTTGGCCAACTGACTGGAAGAGATCCATACTTGTCCCCATTCCAAAGAGAGGTAGCCCAAGAGAATGTCCAGATTGTACAACAGTATTGTTGCGATCACATGTGAGTAAACGTTTGCTGAGCTTCATCCAACAATAGTTGCAGCAGTACATTGACAGGGAGCTGCCAGAGGTTCAGTCCGGATTCAGAAGAGGGTGTGGAACAAGGGCTATTATTGCTAAGGCCAATGGATGTTGGCTCAAAGCAGAGAACACCAGAAAGATGTTTGCTTGTGCTTCATTGGCTATGCAAAGGCATTCAGCTGTTTGGATCATAACCTCGAGAAGAATGGGAATTTCAGAACACTTCCCTGTGCTCACGAGGAACTTGTACATGGGTCAAGAGGAAGGAGTGCAAACGGAACGAGGGAGTTCTGCTGCCTGGTTTAAATTTAGGAAAGAAGTGAGTGCGTCAGGGTTGTATCCTCTCACCAGACTTAGTCAATCTGCATGCTGAGCAAATCAACAGAGAAACTGGTGTCTGTGAAGAAGAATGCGGTGTCAGGATTGGAGGATGGCTTATTAACAACCTGCGCTATGTAGGTGACACAACCCTGCTTGCTTAAAGTGAGGAGAACGTGAAAGAAACAATCGCTGACGACCAGCATCAAGGATTGCAGCCTTCAGTGTGGATCACAACACAACGTGAAGAAGACCAAAATGCTCACAACCGGACCAAGAGGTCACATCGTGATAAATGGAGAAAAGGTTGAAATTGTCGGGAATGTTGTCTTGCTTGGATCCACAATCAACGCTTGTGGGTGCAGCAGTCAACGATCAAAAGAGAGCTCGTTGCACTGGGTAAACCTGCTGCACAAGACCTCTCTAGAGTACAGAAAAACAAGGATGTGACTTTGAGGACTAAGTACACCGACCCAAGCCATGGTATGTTCAGGGGCTTCATACGCGTGTGAGAGTTGGACATGGGATAAGGAAGATCGAAGAAGAATCGGTGCATCGGAATTGTCATGCTGGAGAAGGCTATTGGAAGCACCATGAACTGCTAAAAGGGCAAACCGATCTATGTTGCAAGGCCACTCTGGCTCCTTAGAGCCAGGAAGGCGAGACTTCATCGTACACATACTTTGGACATGTTGTCAGGAGAGATCGTCTCCGGAGAGGGGCATCACGTGTGGTCAAGTGGAGAGGCGGCAAACAAGAGGAAAGCTCAAAGTCGAGGAGGTGAATCAACACATGGCTGCAACAATGGGCTTGTCAAGCTTAGCAATGACGCTGAGGACACAGGACGGGACAGTGTTTCCTTCCGTTGGGCACACGGTCATGCTGGGTTGGCACCTAAACACAGCAGCATGCAGGGTGCGGAGGAGGGCGTACCCTGTTTCCCCGAAAGTAAGACATCCCCCCAAAATAAGACCTACTTACAGTTTTATCTCTCGCTGAAATATTAGGCAACCCCTGAAAATAAGACCTCCCCGAAAATAAGCCCCCTCCCCGCAAAGCTATCGTGACTGGACTGTAGAGGCAGGCATTGCCACGCAGCTCACTGGGGGAGCAGACAGGACCTGTGTGAGGTCTCTTTTAATAAAACAATAAATGTGTACTGTATTCTTCTTCGTGGAAAAATAAGACATGCCCTGAAAATAAGACCTACCGCATCTTTGGGAGCAAAAATTAATATAAGATGCTGTCTTATTTTCTGGGAAACAGGGTTGGAGTAACACTTGGATTGATAGTTGCTAGGTCAGCTGATTGCAATCGGCTGCTCCGTGGGAGAAAGGCTTTCTCCTCCCATAAATAATTACAGTCTCAGAAATGCACAGGGGCAGTTCTAGGTATCAGTGAGTTGGAATCCACTGGGTGGGGGTAGTTCGAGTATTATGCCGATCCCGCCCACCGACACAGGCCAGGTCTACTCCCAGGAGGCCCTCCCCACACCCACCCAATGACCCACCCCTTACCAGGGCCCTCGCCCGCTGGTCCGCCAGGCTCCGCCTCTTTTGCGGCCCCCATTGTGCTGCAGAACCCGGCGAGCCGGGTTGACCGTGAAGCCCACGTAGATCCGGCCTCGATGCCGAGGGTTCAGGCAGTAGAGCAGGTAAACACCGAAGAAGCGCCCCGGTCCCGCCGTGCCTTCCACGGGGCTCATCGGAACAGGGGCTGCCACTGCAGTGGGGGCGAGGGAGGTGACTGCTGTGACGTTCGACCCTGCGGAGGCCTGGGTTGCTAAGATTTGCAAGATGCCAGTCTCTGCAAACGTGCTTTGGGACGACCCCGAGGCGCCCAAGAGGCCAGAGCAATGCTTGCTTGTGCCCCCTCTCCTGGCCGGAGCAGGAAGTGCAGGCCGATCCGCGGCCCAGAGGCGGTGCTCCAATTGGCGTTCGCATCGGCCGCGGACGGCCTCGCGCAGCCTCTGATTGGCTAGTCGATAGAAAGCGCGGGGAGCCTTGACAGTTGGAAAGCCGAGCTTGCGTGAGGGCGGAAGTGCGTGTTCACCGACGCCGTGCTGAGGGCGGAAGTAGATGCTTTGTCGGAAGTGGCGTCAGTCAGGGCGGAAGCCCTTCGACCCGGGTCCGGGCTGCGGTGCGGTCCCCGCTGGGCTGCCGCCCGCTCTGGGCTGCCGCAATGGAACTCAGCGCCGAGTACCTCCGGGAGAAGCTACAGCGAGAGCTGGAAGCGGTGCACGTGGTGAGTTGAACGGCCCGGGCCCGCCGGACTAAAGGGCTCGAACTGGGGGGCAGGTTCGGCATCGTCCACATCCCGCACTAATCTGCCCCGCAGGAGGTGGAGGACACGACTCCCAACCGTTGCTCGGCCAGCTTCCGAGTCCTGGTAGTGTCCTCCAAGTTCGAGGGGAAACCGCTGCTACAGAGACACCGGTGAGGCCCGGGGACATCTCACCCAGCCTGGTGCCGGCTCGCGACCCCCACCCTCGCCTCTCCCGCCCCCTACTTCCCCACCCCTGCCCAAACGGCCCCAGCCCGGGTTCCGCGACCTCCTGGGGCTCTCTCTGTGGTCTCTGCCTCGAGGTTTGCGACTTGGCTCTCGCCTCGCCTATTATGGTCTGGAGGATGTGTTCGTCTCCTAGGCGACCCTAGCCCAGTACTGAGACCCAGACCCGGGACCTCCTGACACCTTCCTCTTCTCTCGCCCCAGGCTGGTGAATGCCTGCCTCGCGGAAGAGCTTCAGCACATCCATGCCTTTGAGCAGAAGACCCTGACCCCAGAGCAGTGGACCTGTGAACGGCAGAAATGACGGGCGGGGCCCCCCCGTGCAGCCATTAAACCTTACATCTGGACCAGCTTCTTTGTCCGTGGTGTGGGTGTATGTAGCTGGAAGGAGGAGGTCTGGGAGTCGAGGGCCTGCCTGGTGCCTAATGTCCAGTTTTACCTTGGGCCAACAACGTCCCCATCTTGTTCGCTGTCTGTTCTTATTAAAGCCCCTTCCAGGGCTGGCCTTTGTAATTCCCAATGCTCTGCCATCAGCCAAGAGTCCACTGGCTGCTGATGGGAATTGCTGCTTTTCAGCCCTCGGAGACCACAGATGAAGAGGTGCTCGTGGTTTCAGGGCCAGCGTCACTGTACATTGAATGAAGACTCCCATCTCCCACCAACCGAATGCCAGAGAGTGAATTTTATGATCCCTGCAGGCTCTTTCACCCTTTGTAGGCCTCAGGGACAGGATACCCCAGCTAGGGTCGAAGCAACTCCCTTAGGGCGGGCTAGAACTGCCCACGTGAGTTTTTGAGACTGTAACGCTTTACAGGAGTAGAAAGTCCCATCTTTCTCCTGTGGAGCAACTGATAGTTTTGAACAGTAGATCTTGGGGACCACAGCCTAACACCTAACTAGGGGTGTAGCCTTGGTGTCGTGGTAGTGTACGCATTGGGCTTCAATCCACAAGGCTAGTCGTTTGAACCTTGGAAGGAAGACAGGGGTCCTCAAACTACGGCCAGCCCGCAGGCCACATGCAGTCCACCGAGGACATTTATCCAGCCTGCCGGGTGTTTTTGCCACCGCTGCCTGTCCTGCTTAGCAGGGGACTCATCCAGTGTGCATAGGAAATTGTTTATAGTGGT